ACCAGGGGCTGCACCTAGGGATTGGGCCTGCCCTCTGCCACCCGGGAGCAGGCCTAAGCCAGCAGGTCGTTATCTCCCGAGGGGTCCCAGACTGCGAGAGGGCACAGGCCGGGCTGAGGGACCCCCTCTCCCCCCCGAATGCACAAATTTTTGTGCACCGGGCCTCTAGTAACTATTAATAAACAGACAGTGCCTTGCTGGTGTGGCTTAGTGGTTGAGTGTTGATCCATGAACCAAGAGGTCATTGGCTCAATTCCTGGTTCGACCACATGCCTGAGTTACAGCCTCGATCCCCAGTAGGGGACATCTTGGAGGCAGCTGATTGATGTTTCTCTGTCTTTGAGGTTTCTCTCTATCAATCCCTTTCTCTCTCTCTAAAAATCAAAAAAATATATTTTAAAAAATAAGCAGATAGCACAAAATAAAGGCTCAGATGTTTTTAGAAACAGATATTTAATTAATATACATTAAATTTGTCTTTATGAAATACAACTAGAGGTCCAGTACACAAAAATTTGTGCACTCGGGGGGTTCCCTCAGCCTGGCCTGTGCCCTCTCGCAGTCTGGGACCCCTTGGGGGATGACCACCTGCTGGCTTAAGCCCGCTCCCCGGGGGATTGGGCCTAAGCTGGCAGTCAGACATCCCTCTGGCAGCCTGGGAGCTCTCGGGGGATGTCCACTTGCCAGTGAGAAGCAGGCCTAAGCTGCAGTCGGACATCCTTAGCGCTGCTGAGGAGGCGGGAGAGGCTCCCACCACCACCGTTGTACTGGCAGCCATCAGCCTGGCTTGTGGCTGAGCAGAGCTCCCCCTGTGGGAACGTACTGACCACCAGGGGGCAGCTCCTGCATTGAGAATCTGCCCCCTGGTGGTCAGTGTGTGTCATATTGACCAGTCATTCTACTGTTAGGGTCAATTTTCATATTACCGTTTTATTATATAAAATAGAGGCCTGGTGCACGGGTGGGGGCCAGCTGGTTTGCCCTGAAGGGTGTCCCGGATCAGGTGGGGGTCCCACTGGGGTGCCTGGCCAGCCTGAGTGAGGGGCTGAGGGCTGTTTTCAGACTGGCCACACCCCCTTCAGGGTGGGGGTCCCCGCTGGAGTGCCTGGCCAGCCTTGGTGAGGGGCTGATGGCTGTTTGCAGGCTGGCCACTCCATGTTCTCACCAGCACATGTAATTTGTTAATTTGTTGATGATACCCATTCTGACTGGTTAGAGATGGTACCTCATTGTCCTTTTTATTTGCATCTCTACAATGCTTAGTGACTTTGCGCATGTTTTCATATGTCCCTTGACCTTCTGTATGTCCACTTTCAAAAAGTGTTGATTGGCCACAGCCCCCAGCCACCCAAGCTCCCAGTGGAGTCTGGCTGGAAGCAGGTATCTAGGATTTATTTATCTGCTATAATTGAAACTTTGTTGCCTTGAGCGGAGGTTACAGCCGGCCTGAGCAGGAGGGAAGATTTGGCTTCCTCCATCGCCGGGGCAACCAAGCCTCCTGCTTGCTCCAGCTCCGTGGCTGCCAGCCACCATCTTGGTTGGGTTAATTTGCATATAGTTGTTCTGATTGGCTGGCGGGCGTGGCTTGGGGGCATAGTGAAGGTACAGTCAATATGCATGTTTCTCTTTTATTAGATTAGATTGCATATTATGTACACCCAATCAAGTACAACCATCATTAAATTGTCTTACACGTGCTTAAAAGATGTACACATCTTCTGAACAAAAGGAATAAAATACCTTGTCTCTAGGACACAGTTGTAGTTAATTAGCTTCAACAATATTTTATTTTTGAACTTTTATTCCAATCTAGAGTAACATCTAATTACAACATAAAATATGGTGACGTCATGGGCTATTTTACTTAACATGGCTACATTTGGTCCTTATTGCAACCTTTTTATTCATATAGCCACTGAATAATATAGAGCAACTCTTTAATAAATATATTTGAATGTTATTCTGAAATAATACTTTGTTAAATGGACTACATAAAACTAATAATGTTCAAAAGAAAATGGTGTAGCATAAAATAGAATAAAGGACATCCAGGTGACAGTGAAACATTGATTAGTTGCCTCCCGTATGCTGCCTGAACAGGAATGGAACTTGCAACCTGGGTATGTGCCCTTACTGAGAACTGAGCTTGCAACCTTTTGATGTATAAGACAAAATTAAACCAACTGAACCACAATGGCCATCCTCTATTGATTACTATAGTCTTGTAGTATAGTTTCCTATCAAGTAGCATGAAATCTCCAAATTTTTTTTTTACAGAAAATTAAACTTTATTGACAAAGTATTTTTTCACATATAGTTTCTGATAAACACTTATTTTTATTAGTGTTTGAAAACAAAATTAATTTTCAAAGTTCTATTCTTAAAACGAACATGATTACTTTCTTTTATAAAAAATTCTTTATTGTTTAAAGTATTACATATCTCTCCTTTTTTCCTCCATTGACCTCTCCTCAGGCACTCCCACCCTGAGCACATGTCTTCACCACCCTAGTGTCTGTGTCTGTGTCCCCTGGTTATGTTTATATGCATGTATTCAAGTCCTTTGGTTGATCTCTTACCCCCCACACCCTTCCCTGCCTTCCCTCTGAAGTTTGATGGTCTATTGGATGCTTCTATGTCTCTAGATCTTTTTATTTATTTATTTGTTTGTTTGTTTTATTGTTTAAATTATTACATATGTCTCCTTTTCCCCCCATCAACCCCTCCCTGTCCACTCCCATCCCCCCAGACAAGTCCTCACCACCCCAGTGTCTGTGTCCATTGGTTATGCCAATATGCTTGCATACAAGTCCTTTGGTTGATCTCTTACAGCCCCCAATCCTGCCCTCCCCTACCTTCCCTCTGAAGTTTGATGGTCTGTTATTTGCATCTCTAGGATGCTTAGTGACTTTGAGCATGTTTTCATATGTCCCTTGACCTTCTGTATGTCCACTTTCAAAAAGTGTTGATTTAAGTCCTTTAATCATTCTTTTGATTAGTTTATCTTCCTTTTGTTAAGTTGTATGAGTTCTCTATAACCCTCTGTATCTCTCTTGCAGCCCTTATGATTCTTACGTTGTCTTTAACACCGGCCATTGTAATTACAACATGTCTTGGTGTGGTTCTTTTTGGGTTTCTCTTGTGTGGGAGTCTTTGTGCTTGTTTGACAATTTTTCTTCCCCTAGTCAGGGAAGTTTTCTGTCATTATTTCTTCAAATCGGTTTTCTATTCCTCGCTACTCTTCTTGATCTTCTGGCACCCCTATTATGCAGATGTTGCTTTTTATTTCATGTTGTTCCAAAGCTCCCTTAAGCTCTTCTCCTGCTTTCCATTTTTTTTCTTCAATTGCTGTTCAGATTGGGTGTGTTTTTCTACCCCATCTTGTTACTCACTGACTTGTTCCTCTGCTTCTTCTAGTCTACTGTTTAAACCTTACATTGTGTTTTTTATTATAGCTATATCATTCTTCATTTCATCTTGATTCTTACATATGTTGATAATTTTCTCATCCAGCCTGTTTAGGAATGGTATGAGCCTTACTCTGAATTCTTTCTCTGACATATTGCTTGCCTCCACTTCATTTAGGTACTTTTCTGGCAATTCCTCCTTTTTTTTTCTCCTTTGGGGGGTTATTTATTTGTGTACCCATTTTTGCTGTCTCTTTCTGGACCTGGGCTCCCTGCTTAGGGTCTGATGGTTTGAAGCCCTTAGCAATTCAATGATCTAGGACTCGCTAGAATGGAGGCTGGGTCTGCCTTGAGTTTCACACCTTTATTTTCTCTGCTCTGAGTTGTCACCTGTTCTCCCCCAGTCTGGTCCCTCAGTTGTCCATATAAGATTCTAAGGGTTGGTGGGGGTGCATGCACAGTTCCTCTGGTATGAGACTCCCTCTGAGGGCCCAGAGTCCTCTGGCATGCAACTAACTGTGTGGCCCTGGCACCCAAGGCAGGATGGAACTCTATGACCTCTGGCAGCACACATGCAGTGTGGTCATGTGACATGTGGCTGGATACAGCACATCACACCACCAGCTCTGACTTGGGCCTGAGGTAGGGCATGTGCCAGGTGACAGCTCTGTCCATGCCAGAGGGCTGAGCAAATTTGTTCTTCTTTCTCAAGTTTTGGGGACATTTGTGGTTCCATATAAATTTTAGAAATATTTGTTCAGTTTTATAAAAAATTCCTTTGGCATTTTGAAAGGAACTGTATTGAATATGTGGATTGCTTTGGTAATATGGACATTTTAACAAAGTTAATTCTTCGTATCAATGAGCATAGTATAGCTTTCCATTTATTTGTGTTTTTCTTCAATGTCTCATAATTTTCCATATACATGTCTTTTGCCATCTTGGTTAAATTTATTCCAAGGTATTTTTGTTTGTTTGTTTGCTTGTATTTTTGATGCAATTGTAAATGGGATTGTTTTCTCAATTTCTCTCTCTGATAGTTTGTTATTGGTAGGTAAAAATGCAACGAATTTCTGAATATTAATTTTCTAGATTTCTGCTTCACTGAATGAATTTATCAGTTCTAGTAGTTTTTGATAGAATCTTGGGTGTTCTCTCTCTCTATATATATAGTATCATGTCATCTTCAAATAATGACAATTTTATTGCTTTTTCAATTTGGATTCATTTTATTTATTTTTCTTGTCTAATTGCTGTGGCCAGGATTTCTAATACTAGAAGTATTAAATAGATGTAGTGAAATGACACCCTTGTCCTATTTCTGATCTTAAGGAAAACACTTTTAGCTTTTCACCATTGAGTATCATGTTAGCTGTCTGTTTGTCATATATGGCCTTTATTATAATGGGGTATGTTCCCTGTATTCCCAATTTTCTTAGAATGAGAATTTATTCCTTAATAATGGATGCTGAATTTTGTCAAATCCTTTCTCTGTATCTATTGATACGATCATATGATTTTATCCTTCATTTTTTTATGTGATGTATCATGTTAATTGATTTGTGTATATTAAACCACCATTGCATCCTAGGAATTAATTCCACTTGATTAGGGTGTATGATCTTTCTAATGTATTGCTAAATTTTTGTTTCTCTATATTTTGTTGAGGATTTTTTCATCTATGTTCATTAGGAATATTGGCCTATAATTTTTTTTTGTAATCTCTTTATCTTGTGTTGGAATCAGGATAATGTTGTCCTTATAAATAAACTTGGTAGCCTTCCCTTTTCTTGAATTTTCAGGAATACTTTGTTTATAGAACAGGTATTAATTTTTCTTTGAGTATTTGATAAAATTCATCTGTGAAGCTATCTGGTCCAGGACATTTGTTTGTTGGAATTTTTATTTTATTTTATCACTGATTTGATTTTGTTAGTATTTATTGATTTGTTCATATTCTCTGTTTCTTCTTGATTCAGTCTTGGAAGACTTTATGTCTCTAGGACTTCTCCTCTTTCATTTCTGATTTTATTTATTTGGACCTTCTCTCTTTTTTTTGATGTATCCAGTTAAAGTTTTATCAATCTTTTCAAAGCCAGCTTTTGGTTTTATTGATCTTTTGTACTGTTTTTTAAACTCTACTTTTTTATTTCAGCTCTGATCTTTATTTTTGTTTCTTATACACACTTGGTATTTGTTCTTTTTTTAGCTTTTTAAATGCAAGGTTATATTAGTTATTTGATTTTTTGTTTGTTTGTTTCTTGAGGTTGGCATGTATTACTATGAATTTCCCTCTTAGAACTGCTTTGGCTGTATCCCATAGATTTGGTGTTTGTGTGTTTTCATTTTTGTCAAAAAATCTTTTGATTTTTTCCTTAATCTTGTTTTTAACCCATTAATTCTTTAGCAGCATATTTTTCAAACTTCATGTGTTTGTGTCCTTTACAGTTTTTCTTTAATTTAATGTTTTTAATATATTTTATTGATTTTTTACAAAGAGGAAGGGAGAGGGATAGTTAGAAACATCGACGAGAGAGAAACATCAATGAGAGAGAAACATCGATCAACTGCCTCCTGCATACCATCTACTGGGGATGTGCCTGCAACCAATGTACATACCCTTGACCGGAATCGATCCTGAAACCTTTCAGTCTGCAGGTTGATGCTCTATCCACTGAGCCAAAGCAGTTAGGGCTACAGTTTTCACCTTATAACTGATTTCTAGTTTTATATCACTGTGATCAGAGGGATGCATGATATGACTTCAACTTTCTTAAGATTTTTATCCCATTGATGTAAATAGGATGTTAAAGTCCTCTTCTGTTACTGTATTACTGTCAATTGCTCCTTTATGCCCATCAGTATTTGCTTAGTATATTTAGGTGCTCATACTTTGGGGCTGAAAATATTTATAAAAATGATGGTCCTCTTTTTTATGGATCCCTTTATTATTATGAAATGTCCTACTTTGTCTTTTGCTATAGCATTTGTTTTAATTTCTATATTGTCTTTTAAGTATTGCTACCCCAGATTTTTGTTTATTTGTTTGCATTTGCATAAAATATCTCTTTTACATTTCTTACTTTCAGTCTGTGTGGGTCATTTGATCTGAAATGGGTCTCTTTTGGGTGGCATATGTATGAGTCTTGCTTTATTACCCATTCAATCACCATATGCTTTTTGATTGGAGCACATAATTTATTTACATTCATAGTAGTTATTAATAGATAAAAATGTATTGCCATTTTATTATTTGTATTTATTTTTATTGTTTTCTTATTCTACTTAAAGTAGTCCCTTTAACATTTATTGTAATACTGGTTTGATGGTGATCAACTCCTTTAGTATTTTCTTGTCTGGGAGGCTTTTTATCATTCCTTTGATTCTAAATGATAGCTTTGCTGAGAAGAGTAGTAATTTTGGTTTTCATCATTTTGAATATTTTGTGCCAGTTCCTTCTAGCCTAAAATTTTCTATTTTAGAATCATATGAAAGTGTTATGAGAGCTTCCTTTCTCTTGATGCTTTCAAGATTTTATCTTTCTCTCCAACCATTCCCATTTTAATTATGATGTGTCTTGGTGTGAGCCTCTTTGGGTTCATCCTGTTTGAGACCGGGTTAGGGAAGTTTTATCCAAATAGGTTTTCAATCTCTTGTTTTCTCTTTTATCCTTCTGGTGACCCTGTGATATGAATATTTTTACACTTAATGTTGTCCCAGAAATCCCTTAAGCTATTCTCACTTTTTTAATTTATTTTTTTATTTTTGTTGTTCCGATTGGGTGGTTTTTTTTTCAGATTGCTGAGTTGATCCTCTGCTTTATCTAGTCTATTATTGATTCTGTCAATACATTCTTCATTTTATCTATTGCATTCTTTATGTATGAGCAGTTCTTTTTTATGTTTTCTATCTCTATTGTTATGATTTCTATCTCTTTGTTGAAGTTCTCACTGAGTTCACCTACTTTTCTCCTAAATTCATTGCACACCCATATAACCAGTGTTTTGAACTCTGCGTTTGTTTGATTGCTTCTCTCTATTTTGTTTTGTTCTTTTTCTGAAGTTTTGTTCTGTTCTTTCATTTGATACATGTTTCTTTGTCTCATTTTTGCTTACTCCATGTGTGTGTTTCTGTGTATTAGTTAGATCTGCAATGTCTCCCAGTCTTGGAAGAGTGGTCTTGTGTAATAGGTGTTCGATGGGGTCCAGGGGTACAGTCTTCCTGGTCACTGAGCTGGATGCTGTAAGAGTATCTTTTGTATGAGTTGTGTATACCCTATGTTGAAGTGGAGACTTGATGGCTGTGGTGACATCAGTGGGAGGGACTGACCCTCAGGCTGGCT